CCCCCGGTTCGGGGCATGATATTAAAGCAGAGAAGGTGGTTGGAGATATTGAAAGACTGTGATATCACCATCTTGTATCATCCCGGGAAGGCCAATGTGGTGGACAATGCCTTGAGTAGAAAGGCAGTAAGTATGGGTAGTCTTGCGTACATTCCAGTCGGTGAGAGACCGCTTGCTTCAGATGTTCAGGCTTTGGCCAATCAGTTCGTGAAGTTGGATATTTCAGAGCCCAGTCATGTTCTAACTTGTACAGTCACTCGGTTTTCCTTGTTTGAGCGCATCAAGGAGCGGCAATATGATGACCTCATTTTCTTGTCCTTATGACACTGTGGTGCCAAGCAGGTTAGTGTTGGAGATGATGGAGTTTTGAGGATGTAGGGTCGTATTTGTGTGCCTAATATAGATGGACTTCGTGAGTTGATTCTTGAAGAGGCTCACAGTTCCCGGTATCTTATTCATCCGGGTGCCACCCAGATTTATCAGAACTTGAGGCAGTATTATTGGTAGAGAGGGATGAAGAAGGATATAGTTGCATATGTAGCTCGGTGTCTAAATTGTCAGCAAGTGTAGTGGTTGAGTAAGGTACCGATTGCTCGTCACGACCCATCAGTTTGGGTCGTGACACTATGGAACCTTCTGGTTTTGCCTTATTCCCTATGAGGGACTTAAAATGGCCTAACAATCTGTAACATAACATGTAACAGGTTTAGAATAAGCGCTTAACTTGAATTAATATTATAAATATCAAAATTCCGGTTAAGAAATACTTTACCTTTCAACAAAATACATCCACCTGTAATGTACAGAACCACCTTGTATTGCTTCATCTACCAGATGGACAGTTAAATGGACCATTACAGTAAAGAATGTTGGCGGGAATAATATCTTCAAGTGGCAAAGTGTGAGAACAATGCAATTTTGTAACTTTTCTAGATCCGCCAAACTCAAACTTTTAAGACAAAGTTCTCTGAAAAAAGAAGAAAGCTCTACTAAGACTGCAACAACCTCCTTTGGAAGCACATTGCGAATTGCTATTGGTAGCAATTGTTCCATAATAATGTGACAATCATGACTCTTTAATCCAAAGATTCTCCTTTGGTTCGGATCAATGCAACCAGACATATTACTCGAGTGACCATCCGACACTGAAATATTCTTTAAATTTGTGAGGAAGGCCACTTTCTTTTCCTTTGGAATGGTAAACACAACAAGACGACACTCATCATTCTCATCAGGCCAAAGATCACGCCTTATACCCATATCTTGCAAATCTTTTTGTGCCTTAATATTATCTTTTGACTTGTCTTTATCATTAAGCAAAGAATATATAATATTGTCAAACACATTCTTTTTGATGTGCATGACGTCTAAATTGTGGCGCAATGAGTTAAACTCCCAATATGGAAGATTAAAGAATATGCTTTTTTTCCTCCATTGTTGCGCTGCACCTTGCCCAATATTTTTTTGTCTAGATCTTTTTCTTCTCTCATTCAACTCAGCCAGTTTTCCAAATGTAACATCAATATCTTTCACTTATTGCAAAATATCAAATCCGGATAACTTTCTTGGTGGGTTTCTTTCCTCCACATTTCCATCAAAGCGATGCCGGCAAGGTTCTGCATCAAAATTACAAGTGGGACATGCTAAACCAGTATGTGAGTTCCAACCAGATAAGATATCGGGTCCACAAAAGTCACTAATTGTCCACATAAGAGCAACTCGCAATCTAAACATCTCTTTCTTTATGAATCAAAAGTTTCGACACCTTCACTCTGTAACTCATTCAACTCCTTAATATGGGGTTGTAGGTAAACATCTATATTATTTCCCACCGTACATGGACCAGGAATGATCACTGAAAGAATAAAATTGGATTACTTCATGCACAACCAAGGAGAAAGGTTGTATGGAACTAAAATGACTGCCAAATGCTATAATTAGTACTCATCGTACCAAAAGAATTAAAGCCATCACTAGCTAGGCCTAGCCGAACATTCCGAGGATCAAAAGTAAATTCAGGAAAAGTTGTATCAAACCTCTTCCATGCCTCACCATTTCTAGGATGCCTCATGATTCCATCTTTGTTATTATCCTCAGCATGCCATCTCATGTATTTTGTTATTTTAGAGCACATGAACAATCTCTGCAACCTTGGTTTTAATGGAAAGTAACGCAAAATCTTTGCAGGCTTCTTGGTTTTCTTCTTTCCTGTAGCAAACACAAGATCTTTATTTCTGTTCTTATTAGGCTTCTACCTAGAAGTATGACAATACTTACATGTTTTCTCATTAGCATAATTTCCCCAAAATAACATACAATTATTTGGACAAGCATCTATCTTGATATAATCAAGACAAAGCTTACTGATAGTTTTTTTAGCCTTATAAGAAGAATTAGGGATTCGTGCAAATGTAAATGCGTCCCTCAACAAATCTAGTGCCATGGACATTCCCTTGTCACTTATCTCGGACAAACACTTTATATGATACAATTTTAATAAAAATTCTAATTTTGAGTACTTGGACTCTTCATACAATTCTTGACTTCCATCTCTAAGCAACTCGAAAAAGTCTTTGTCATTTGAAGCAGGCTCATTATTTAACCTTTCTTCACCACCTGCTACTTGTGACGGACCTACATCAACCCCATCGTGCCTTAGGCCCCCAAATGCTTCATTGATCAATAATTCTACAGGATTTTCAGAAGGTAATGTATCTTATATAACCTCAATATTTATAGAATTAGGGAGTATATTTCTTTCACCATGAATACTCCAAGTGACATAATTTTGATGGAATGGTTTGCATACCAAATGATCAAATGCTACATCTCTAGTCTGCCACTTTGCGAATCCACATTTAGGACAAGGACATTTTATTCTATCTCCCACAACAGCATTAGCAAATGCAAAATCTAAAAACTGATTTAACCCAATCAAATACTCAGTGGTGTTCCTTGGCTTTGTAATCCAAGATTTATCCATAGGAAAGTGTTATCTTTCAAGTGCAGCTGATGAACCTTTCAGAATATAAAGAGAAAATATCAGTTCTCTATTATTAGCATACATAATAATAATTATGAAGCAATAATACATACAACAAACGCCATCTATAATCATAAGCACTGCCAAACTTGAAAATCCCAAAATAAAGAATGCATTTGCATAGTCATAGTCATATCTTCCAACAATAATAAGTAAATTCAAAGACAAGTAAGTCAACAAATTATAAGCATCATGATAGAAAATAAATTCAAGAGACATGTAAGTTATTTGAGGACCAAAGATGTACACATTACTAAACAACTTAAAAGAACAAAAAGTTACTTAAATATGATAAGTGCATGCATAAAATTGCATATAAATTTTTAAAATTATTCACAACTATTAAAAGAATACTTCAATTAACAATGAAGAAAGGAAAATCTGGTACAAATATATGAAATTAAGGTGCAAATGTAGGAAAAATCTGGTACAAAATCTGAGAGCGCCATATGCTAGAATACTTCAATTAACAAGCATCTAAAATTGAAAATCCATAATTTTCTTTTTCATGACAATCCATATGAACCAAAATTGCTTATGAATCTTTTTTGTATTAATCTGTTCTTATAAGAATCTGCTAGACTTTGTATGAATTAGTTGGATTTTATTTCATAGGGAATGTGAGACTTCAGAAAGGAAAGAAGCTAGTGTAATTCAAATGTAAATTTCAGACATCCAAGTATCTGAAAATTCAAATGCAAACCAATGTTTGTATGCTAGTGAGATTTCAAAAATCTGCTAGATCTGTTATTATAAGAATCCCTGATTTTGTATGAACGATGCTTGTTTTCCATAGATATGAGAGATAAAAGATGTAGGGAAGAAGAAAGTTGGATGTATATCCATTACCTCTCAATATGCAATTTCTTTGCAACTTTTTTGCCACCCACAGTGCTTCTTTCCTCTTGTAGTCCAAAAATATTCCAAGACCAGAACAAAATCCACAGATCTATATGAGCAGTGCCTTTTAGTTGTTTGGGCAAATTATATTCTTAAAACCCCAATTACAAATATTAACACTAAAATCACATTAAGGTAAAAAGAAATTACTTCATGAATCCCAAACGAGATTCATGGAAGAAGAAGGCAAGCAGAAAGAAGAGAGCATATAAGGCTGAAGTTTCTTTTTAATTAAGAGTGAAAATCAGAGAAAGAAGAGAGTAAAAATTGGGAAAGACGGAAGTTTCTGAAAAGATTGGGAAAAAAAGGAGGGAGTGCAAAATAAATTACCCGCTATTATTTTAGGGTTGCGAAAGTTTTAGAACCCTATAAATTGTATAATTTTGTGGGGGCTAATAAATTGTCGCAAAAGTATGCAAATTGCGGAGATTACTTATACCCTCCGCAAATAATTGTTCGCAATTTACCTGTTTTTTTGTAGTGTATACCTCTTCATCTTTGGTGTCTTTTCATGTCTTCACTGATCCTTACTCGCCTTGCGGTAATCCGTATCTACTAGGGATAACTAAATTTCTTACGCGCGAGGGTGACACCTAGTATAATTGGCACACTTAGTTCCTTAAGCTTAACTATGCTCACAATGCTTGCTTTAGGAAAGTGTCTTCCTGAATGACCTTTAAATATTATTCTTCCGTTAACCATTCTATCAATTGCTGAAACGTGATCTCTGAAATTCTCATGATGATGACTATTATCAAATTTTTCTATCCCTAAATCATGTTTGATTTTATCTTGTTTACTAGCCCATACTAATTTTTATTATTCCCGGGGTCTAACTTAGCTTGTTGGTAATCACGTTGGAGTCACCAACTTATACTCTCTTATTGTCTCAAGGCTTGTCACCTTTTGTCTTTTCCTTCATTTGAATATAGACTCTGTCATCTTGTCATATTTTAATTTACCGTTTTCAACCATTTATTATGCCTTACTCATAATGCTTCATTTACTCTCTTCTTATTCTCCTACTAATATGTCTGTCTATCACATTATTCTGAAAAATTCAACAAAACCTTGTTTCACTTTTAGCTCTCCTGGCTCAATCCACCATTTTGGGTTACTCTAACCAAACTGGATCCTGATATCTCATCCTTCTCTTAAACTATTTATGTTAGCTCCCATATGGAATAACTGAGATGGGTATGTGGCCATACCTCTATTACTGTTGAAGGTAACTTAGAATCCTTATATTTCTCTGCCTGAATTGAAAATTCGGATAATCTTTATTAACTGGGTATCTCGTACCCTTCTTCACTTTGCGTCTGTTACCTGTTGAAACTTACACTTTTACCTTGTGATACTCCCATGGCCTACTATTCATGGGGTATGTTAGATATTCCCGTTTTAGGGTCTTAAGTGGGAAATTCGCACATCTGGTATGCACGATTTGATAGGTCCTCAAATAGGGCCACATCGTCAAGAATTCTCTCTCTACTAATGCCTTTACCTGCTGTTGTATTAGTCCTCTAGCTAGCTGTAATTTTTTTAATTACAAGCATCTCTATAATTAGCAAATATAAGTCTTGGCTCGAACTCTTATGAGTTAGATCTATAGCACGATGTGGATTTGAAAGAAGTATAACAGACTTCTAAATGCCTTCTTTTTATATAATGTGGTACAAAACACATCTATAAACAAGGCTCTACCAGAGACGGCTTATAGACTCCCTCGAACAGAATTGCTCTAATATCAAGTTTGTCACGCCCTAAACCTGAAGAGGCGTGGTCGGCACCCGATGCCATACTCGGCTCAAGAGTACCACTCTGTAACTATGAACTATGGAGGGGTAACCCTCAACTTAGGTCGATGAGGCCATATTCTGAATCATCTGAAGATAACGTCTCTCTCATCTAAGGGGTAAGCATACCCAAATGCTGATATATATAATTGTGTAGGTCGACGAAGCCGCCATGAACATCTACTGCTATACAAAATGTGCAGGACTCATCTACAAGCCTTTAGAGATAACTGAACTGTACCATGGTCGGGACAGGGCCTCGACCTACCCATCAAACCTGTATATATAAAATGGACTCCAAGGTCTAGACTTGGTAACTCCAAGGAAGTAGAGCTTACCAAGCTGATGTTTGACTTTGTCTGCTGGGAGGGTCTATCCAATTGTCAATCAGGACCTGCAGGCATGAAATGCAGCGTCCCCGGCAAAAGGAATGTCACTACGGAATAATGTACCAAGTATGTAAGGCAACAGAATAATTGAAAGCTGAAACTAAACTGATAATATAATAACTGGGAGTCAAAGATAATCTGAAGATATGCTTACCTGCTGATACTGACTCAACTCTCTCAATATAGTAAGTAAAATAGCTATCCGGCCTTATAAGGCTCGGTATGTGTAACTGTTTTGCTGTAGTAGGCTCACTCATAGGCACTCGGCCATACTAGGCTATGTATCTCGACCATTCTGGGTTCGCTCATAGGCGCTCGTCCACAGTAGGCTCGATATATAACTTACCATCCGATAAGAGGTTTCCCAATAGGGGCCTGCCTATCGATTATAGCTCGATGATGGTAAAAATACTATAATACTGTATATATATAGACTCTCTGCGCTCTTTACTGAAAGAAGACAAAATTAAACTGAATATAAAGTCCTGATAAGGGAGAATGTTGTAACGTATGAGACTAGAAATATGTATATAAATTCATGAATATGAACTTCTCTTTATGTCTCGTTATCAAACACATGTAGTTACTAGATCATGAAAAAATGAATAAAAGACTTAGCCTTAACATACCTTAATCTTATTGAGTCCTTAATAGCTTCCAAGCAACTCTTCAAACAACTCAACTCAGTCTACCATAGCATAAGGAGATTCAAAATCAGTGTTGAGTAAAGGCTAAGTCTGTAACTTAAGCTAGTAGCTTGTTTTATATAAATTTGGGCAGCATCTCCCTTGTAACAAGGGCCTACTCCAATACAATATACCAACAACAGTAACCATAGCAATACCATAAGAACAACATCAATAATAGTGTACAAAATGTTTCATTAACAAGTCGTCAACATATCACGACGAGTGGCAAGCTCAGATTGAATCCCTTCAGCACCCTTCAACCCTATTATCATTCATTCTTGAACTTAGTAATATATTCAGTATAATAACCAATACCTTTTAAAGGATTTCCAATCTTGTACTCAACTTTAAAGTTACTTGAAATAGCCCAACACAAGATAATATCACTGTCGACAACTTTCAAGTGTTTTATAGCCATTTCCTTTTCTAGTTACCAATTTTCTCAATAAGATTGACATGTAAACCAATATAATCATACTAACAATATCATAGACAACTTAGTTTCCATAATTTCCAGCCACTTAAAGTTCATAAGAGCAACCTTCAAATTAATCCATCAAGAACAACAACATCTCAAGCTGATCCAAGTATTATCTTGTAGTTTATCATCCTAACAACTTAACCAACATATAAGAAAGCTTAAGCACAATTAGTAGGCTATTATACTCACCTTAGACAGTAGCAAAAACTTAAAATTTCAGCCCAACACAATCCACAATTATCCTCAATGATACCACAATACTATAGGTATTGTATTCTCTTCTTGAATCAACTTTAGGTGTTCAAGTTGGTGTGTAAACACTTGTAGTTCGCCTTGAAATCTAATATATATGAAGGAGGGACTGATTATTACCTTAATCATCAAGAACCACACGAGACCTGAGGTTACTTCACTTTGAAGAACTCTCCAAAACAACCACAAGATAAAGAACTACGATCTAGCAAGCACCATGGGATTTCTTGCGTCGGATTCATGTTTTTATCTTAGGTATTCACACTAGAATCATGGAGGAACCCTTGGAGAGCATCTAGGAGGGTTTAGAAACTGTTGTGGACGAGAAAAATGAGTGAAAATGATTTGGAATGAAATTAAATACAAGCTGGAGTTTTACATCGACTTTGTGGGTCCCATGGGAGCTGCTTGTGCAGTCTCACAAAAACGTGAATATCTCTCTACTCCGATGTCGTATTAATAAACGGTTAAATGCATTAGAAATTAAACTTGTAGATCTTCAATTTGGTAGGTAGATCACCCTGTAATTTCAAGTATATTGGGAGTAAAACTCAGCTACATTTGACCTAAGTTTTAGCGCATTTATGAATGTAACTTGTGATGACCTTTTTTAACTTTTGTTCCACAACTCGCTTGACTTCAAAACATAACACACGCCTATGATATGACCAAAATAACTCATGGCATAACCTCCTTATCAAGTTAATCACCCTAGTCTCACCACAAAAGTACATGTTATGACATTCCTAACTTGTCGACTTACGACGAAACTTATTTTCTTCAATTCATTTAGCTTCTAAGCCTTCAAACCCTCTTGGTACCGGGTATTCATGATCATAAATATTTCTAACCTCCATGTTAACATGATAACTTTGTAAAATTTTCAAAAATGATTTCATTTATGAGCTTACATCAATTGACTTACGACATACTCTTACGTAGGAAAACATGGGGTGTAACATCTTTACACTATACACTCTTCGTGGCGGCAACCTAATACTCCCTCCGTTCACTTTTACTTGTTATGTTTCGCTTTTCGAGAATCAATTTGACTAATTTTTGAAGCTAAATTGTATTATATTTTCTTAGTATTTTAAAATTAAAGTTTTAGATATTCCGAAACTATATGAAAAATACTATAATTTATAATTTTTCTCATATCAATATGGTAAAGATATACATGTTAAAAGGTTGGTCAAAGTTTATGTAATTTGACTATCGAAAAGCGAAACGCGACAAGTAAAAGTGAACGACGGGAATACAAAATTAGCGAAGCTTCTTCATATTTTAGCTATGAAATGATTACAACAAAATTAGAGTGTCTCAAGGGCCATGATGGAAATTGTTTCTTTGGAAAAGCAAAATGACTACATCAATGATAATTATAAATCGGACTTGAGGAAATAAATTGAAATTGAGGAAAACCAATAAGAAACCAAGGAAAGAAAATAAATAAGAAAAGAAAAAGATTGATGGAACATAAAGAAAGCAAAATAAATCTTAATGTGATCAAGAAGTACATGAGAATATATGGAGTTACTTACACAAGAATTTGGTCGCAGATTATCCTATATATTAATTGAGTTATTTCTTTGAGTTTATATCTAGAATATTTTCTATTTTAGATATTGTAGACTTATTGACTTCATCTGTGACGGATTCGACCAACGACTTCACTCTATTCTCAGCTATAAGCTCCACGTCTTGTACCTGCATATAAATAAAATGTATTATACTGTATTCTTCCTCCTGTACACGAAATTGGCTTTATTTTATACGAAATTTTATTAACGTAGGTAGCGTTAAAAAAGGAATTTTTAAAAAGAAAACATATTTTCTTGATTATTTCCTCATCTCTTGCTGGACAAGCTGGAGAGGATGTTGCGGTACTCTTCTATAGTAAGGAACAAGTCATAGTTGATAAACAATTGCCATTTGTTGAATGCGAAGACGAGACTAACAAAATTATGAACTTTATTAAAGTAATTGTCTAGTCAGACTACCATAGCTTGTATAATTAGTTTGATTAATCTTATATTGAAAAGAGCTTAAGAAAAAAACTTTTTTGTTATTTGCATTTTGCACCAATCTGAAAACTGAGCAATAATTAAACTCCCATAAGATATGTTAAGATATAGTGATAGTGCAAAATTTCGTTACAGCGTATGTGTATATAATTTAAATCCTCGCATGGACGAAATTAAAACTAACTTTATTTGATAGAGGATTAATTTTTGTGAAGCAGCTAGAGTTGGAAAAGGAAATTTCAAAAGAAAACATATTTTCTTGGTTATGTTCCTTTTCTCTTGCTGGACAAGGAGACGAGAATGTTAGTCTTCACATCAATAAGGAACAAGAAAAATTAGTATAATAATCTTATTCAAGTCATAGTTGATGAAATCGGTGTTTTTTTTATAGCGAAGATGAGGCTAACAATTATATATGAACTTTAAAGCTGTATTTTATAGTCAGACTGCATATGCTTTATAAGTTTTATTTTTTTGGATGGAAAGAGATTAAAGAGAATTCAATGAAAAAATATCAATCCGACTTTGCAGAAGGTTTAGTATCTTTCAATTCTTAAAAGTCAACAATATTAATCTTGTGACTGAGTTATTAAAGTATTTTGAGGCAAATTTTCAAAGTACGTGGAGTAGTAGCTTGTTTTAATTTTTTTAATGTAGTCAAGTCAGTTGCCAGATTTTAAAGAATTCCATTTTAATTTGAACAAGTAACCATACTTGAAATTTAAAAGAAAAACATAAGAATAATAAATTACGTACTAGTTGGGAATAATTAAATAAGAAATAAACTATAAAATGAGTTAATTAGATAAACCTTATCAATAATATCTCCAGCTGCAAGAGCAAACTTGGCTGTTTCTTCTGAGAAATTTTCTACAGCTTTGAGAGTATCTTTGAGTTGGCCTTCTGGCAAATCTTTCCCAATTTCTTCAGCCACTTTGTCTACTTTCTCAGCCACATTCTCCACATCCTCTACTACTTCTTCTACTTCTTCTACTGTTTCTATTACATCTTCCACCGTATCTGTATAATTAGCAAATTAAACCTTTTAATATACATGAAAAGCCCCTAATTAATTTCTATCTTCTTAAGGAAATGCAATTGAAACTAGCAGTATGTGAAAGTAACTCATGAAATCTTACTTTTAAGTTGCAATAATGACCCCCATTTGTTGCGGAAGAAGGGTAAAATTATTGATAGCAGAATTCCTATCAGCCAGCCATTACTGTATAGTGATTATAAGAAGCATTAAGTTAGAGCAGTTGAATGTATACATTCTTTTTTATTAATTTTGTAGAGGATCTGATAAGTGAAGAGACAGATTTAGCTCGGGTTTTATGAGTTCAAATTTCCAAATCAAACTATGTATACATATGTAAAACAAATTAAAATGTAGATTGTACGTACAATATTACATTCATTTTGAATTGACTGACTCTAGGTAATGATCAATTCGTCCGTCGATAAATGTCAAATAACTTACAAGGGATTTGAAGAGGGTGGAGAAGGTAAGGGACCTCCTGGTTGACCATTGCTGCTCACCACAAACTTCCTATATCGAAAATGAAGAAGAAAATGAGGACATAAAGTCGATCATGTTATCTAAGATAAACATGTTCACAAATAGTAATTACTAGTTCCACCAAAAACCAAGAAGTTTACCTTTTAATTTTGTCACTTGTTAAAAGTCCTTTTCTGGATCCAAGAAATGACAAGCTATTATGATGATCTCCAAAGCTGCTAACATCCTTATTTTTCAAGATTTTAAAGCTAAAAATAGGGTATAAAGAGATACTATGATACCTGTAACGGGACCAGCAGGCATGGCTTATACTTGTTGAACTTTGCAAAAGAATGGATGTTGTCATATATCGATGAAAACTTATGCAGATTTTCCTTGCTAACTTTGGAGATGGCGAAAGAGGATAACAGATTTAATGGAAGAATGGAATAAGTTGCCAAGAGTTTGAAAGAAGACAGAAGGGATTGTGGAAATTTTCTCTGTATTGAATTGACAATGTAAAATCCTAAATATATAGATTTTATCCTACTGTAGAATAACAAATAAAGAATATTCCTATACACTTGTACTACTCCTATTTGTCTACAATCTAACAGAAAAACCATAAATTATTCTTTCCCATGTGCTCATGTGAGAAGCACGTGAGATATTGCTTCTGGAAGCATCCTTATCTACAGCTATTAAAATAATAATCAGATGGTTGAGAATGAAGGATCATGACCATCCATGATTCTTCCACATGTAAGGCTCAGCTTTATTTGATTAAACCATTTAGACAACACAACATAGATGCGTCCGAAAACTTAGGTGTGTGTCTGAATAGTCTCTTCTTCTTCCTTCTCTTTTCTGTGTGAAACTTTGGGTAAAAATGGCTGTGAAGAAGCCATCGTCTTCTTCTCTTCATCATCCCCCCTCAAGCTGGTGGGTAGAGACAAAACCCTCAGCTTGCTCATGATGTTGGTGTGAGAAACCCCAGATAAGGGTTTGATAAAAAAATCTGTGAGTTGAGCTTTGGAAGGAACGAAAGAAAGAGATATCAAACCAGCAAGAAATTGTTATCTTACGAAGTGACAATCCAACTCCACATCTTTGGTCCGTTCGTGGAAAACGGGATTGCGAGCGATATGAATTGCCGCCTGACTGTCAGAGTGTAAAGGGACCGGCAAAGTTGGAGGAGCAGATAAATCATCAAGAAGACGAACAAGCCAAGTGATTTCAGCAGTCACCTGTCGCATAGATCAATACTCAGATTCAGCGGATGACAAAGAAATTGAAATCTGCTTTTTCGATTTCCATGAAATGGGCACACCTCCAAGGGTAATGAAGAAGCCACTGATGGATCGACGAGAATCCTTACAAGCAGCCCAGTCAGCGTCGCAAAAGGTGACGAGATCAAAAGAAGGAGCAGAAGAAAGGAGAATACCTTGACCTGGGTCGGATCTAAGATAGCGAAGGACTCTGAGACCAGCAGAAAAATGTGAAAGGAAGGGTCTTTGCATAAATTGACTGAGGTAAAGAACAGCAAAACAAATATTTGGGCGAGTGTTGGTGAGATAGTTAAGTTTACCCACCAATCGTCGATAAAGAGTGGGATCCTCCATGGGTGGTTCTAAGTCAGCGTGCAATTTGCAGTATGGATCAAGAGGAGATGAAACAGTAGGCCCTTTACAGTCAAACTTAGCCAACAGTTCCAAGGTAAATTTCCTTTGACTGACTATGTATCCTTGTTGTTCTTTGAGTATTTCCATCCCCAAGAAATAGTGAATATTCCCCAAGTTCTTAACTTTGAATTCAGAATCCAAAAACTTAGTAATATGTTGTATTTCTGTGTCATCATTTCCTGTGATAAGAATATCATCAACGTATACTGCAATGATGGAAGTTCGCTTTTCTGTGTGTTTGTAGAATAGAGAATAGGCATTCAAAGAACTAGAATAACCTTTGTAGCTTAGAGCACCTGCTAAACGAGCATACCATTGCCTTGAGGCGTGTTTTAGTCTATAGAGTGATTTCTTCAGTAAGCACACCTGATTAGGATGGGAGGGAGTGAGACCAGCTGGGAACTTCATATACACCTCTTCATGTAAATCTCCATGCAGAAATGCATTGTTAACATCTAATTGTGAGACCTCTCAACCCTTCTTTATAGCTACAGTCAGTAAGCACCTGATGGTGGTCATTTTGACCACTGGATTGAAAGTCTCAAAATAATCAACACCTTCCCTTTGTATATCCCCCCTGACAATCAACCTGGCTTTCAACCTTTCAAGTGACCCATCTGATTTGTGCTTGACCTTATAAACCCATTTACAAGGCAATGCCTTCTTGCCTGGGGGGTAAGGGGACTACATTCGAGGTGTGATTGAGTTGAAGAGCTTGGATTTCAGCTTCCATAGCTTTTCTCCATCCAAGATCTTTGGAAGCCTGAGTATAACTGGTGGGTTCAGAAACTATGGAGATGGATTTGAAAATGGCTTGATTGTTAGGAGAAAGAGCTCCAAAGGAAAACACATGAGGATGAAAAACATGATGAAGACAGGATGAGGTAAGTAAGATCAGAGAAAACAATGCTATTGCAGACATAATCATTAAGGTAGGTAGGTTTCTAGGAAATCCTCTCAGATTTTCTAATAAGGGGTGGTGGAATTGGGATTGTAGGTTGTGGACTAGGGCAATCAGTAGGAGATGGGGCAGAATGTGGAAGGCTAGGAACAGATAGAGGAGTATCAGGAGCATTGATAGAAATAGAGGGGCTGTTATCAGATGAAGAGGGTCATGTGAGTGTGACTGATAATTAATAGTTGAGGTGGGAGATAGGAGATCCTGAGAGGTAGTTTCAGTAGTGGGAGACAAGTGAGGAAAGAAAGGATAAGAAGGGAAAAATGAGGGTGAGGTCACAGGATCAGAAGAAAATGGAAAAATTGTTTCATGGAATTTAACATCTCTTGAGGTAAAAACCTTCTTGGAATGCAAATCTAGCAATTTGTATCCCTTTTGTTGCTGTGCATATCCTAGAAACACACAAGCTTGGGCCCTGGGATCAAATTTGCTTCTGTGTTGTGACAAAGTAGATGCATAGCATAGGCATCCAAATGACTTGAGTTGTTCATATTGTGGACTCCTCTTAAACAAAATTTCATAGGGTGTTTTTCCTTTTAGAACACTAGAAGGAAACCTATTGATTAGATATGTAGCAGTTAAAATACATTCTCCCCAATATTGAATGGGAACTTGTGAGTGAAAATACAAACTCCTTGCCACTTCCAAAAGGTGCCTATACTTTTGTTCAACAACACCATTCTGCTGGGGTGTTGCCATACATGAAGTTTCATGTAGGATGCCTTGAGACTGAAAAAAATCAGATTGAAAAGATCCCTTACCTAGTTCCATTGCATTATCAGATCTGATTCTCTTAACTTTCTTTCCAAATTGTCTCTCTACCATAACTAAGAAAGACTGTAAGATAGTAAAAGCATTGCTCTTGGAACTTAAAAGAAAAGTCCAAGTTCCCCTACTGAAATCATTAACCACTGTCAAAAAATATTTGTATCCATTGTAAGTGGTATTTTTGAATGGTCCCCATACATCAATATGAATAAGATCAAAAATCCCATGAGTTCTGATTTGACTTAAGGGAAAAGGTAATCTAGTTTGTCTAGATTTTGGACAAATATCACACACACAATTGAAATTGGAAGGAAAATGATTGAACTGAAGATTTTTCATTACTGAGAATGGTAGATGTCCCAATCTAACATGCCATTGGAGTACATTAGAGTTCTCTGTATAGGAATTAGAAACAGAACAAGAAACTTCACTAGGAACAAGAATGGAATCACTTCCTTTTGGAATAGAAAATACATTGTTATTTAAACTAAAACTAGAATCTATCTTAGTAGGGTTAGGCTCCAGCAGGTAAAATCCTCCTCTTAATTCACGAAAAACTTGTCCCCTCCTCATGCATGATGCGCCCACTAGAAGTTAGATTGAGTGAGCAATGAAACTGGAAACAGAACTTATGGACTGAGAGTAAATTATATTAGAAAGAAGGAACATAAAGGACCCTTTCAAGAATCATATCAGATTGAATAGGAACTCTACCTATGTGTGTGACATATAATTGAAATGAGTTAGGAAAGCTAATATGTATAGGAACAGAAAGTGGATCTAAAGATAAAAAACAACTTGAATCAAAACACATATGTTCAGAAGCCCCTGAATCAATGATCCAGGTTTTTGTGTTAAAAGCTGCCAAACAAGTTCCAGTATATTTAAGAATGGTACCAGCTACTGCATTTGCATTGATTACAGTTCCTGGTGTTGTTGTATTTCCAAGTTGTGCCTGCTTGAGAAGGTTCATCAGCTCAGACACCTGTTCCTTACTGAAAAACTAGGTTTGAGGTATTGATTCATTGCTTTGAGTGCTCCTATTTTCATTCTCCTGTCCTTCAATTATAGCATTATCCTTGACTTGTGTTGATTTAGTGAATTGGAAATCATCTGGAAATCCATTTAGCCTGTAACAATCTGCCCTGACATGCCTAGTCCTCATGCAATGTGTGGAGCTCACATTAGGATTAAACTTTGATTTTCTTCCCTTAGATTTCTGTTGTATGCTATTAACCTTTTGTGAGTTAGTCCATGTCCTTTGTTGTGACTGATTGTTGTTTCTTTGTGGTGTCCTACCTTATACTCCTACCATGAATGAGGTAGCATCACCATTGAACTGTGGTCTTGCATATATCTCCCTTTAATTTTCATCTTGAAGAAGAAGTGAATAGGCAAAATATATTCCAAGTAGTGGATTCATCATAAGAATATTTCCTCTTGCTTGGGAGTAGACATCATTTAGTCCCATTAGAAATTGAATAATCCTTTGGTCTTCTAAGAACTTTATGACTTTCCTTTTTCCATCACAAACATAGTCACAAGAACAGACCAGATGAGAGTTGAGAGAATCAAGTTCATCACAGTTTCTTTAGTGTGGTAAAATATCTAGCAATGTTGTTGTTACCTTGAACTAACATTGATATTTCTTTCTCCTGTTGGTACAGTTTGGCTCCATTAGTTTGCCAAAATCTGTGTTCAAGGTTGTTCCACAGATCCCTTGCAAATTTAGAGTAGATGACACTTTCACCTATCTCCTTAGATAAAGAGTTCAGGAGCCAATGAGTCACCATGAAGTTGCATCTACTTCATTGTGGGTGATCTTGAGCATCAGGTTTTGGCTCCATGCAAACACCATTTATGAACCCTATCTTATTTTTGGCTGAAAGAGCTATAAGGATTGATCTCATCCATCCTGCAAAGCCTCTATCATCAAAAGACGTGGTTACCAGACTTAAACTAGGAGCATCAGATGAGTGAAGGAAATAAGGATGATTCACATCATGTGAAATTGTTTGACTGGTTGAACCAGAGGAGATGGGAGTAGAAGAAGTAGGAAGAGTTTCCTCTCCTGCCATTGACGAACACTATGTTCTGAAAGAAAGGATATTTGGATCGAGCTATTGTTGCTCTGATATCATGAAAGAAGATAAAAGGAATTATGGAAATTTTCTCTGTATTGTATTGATAATGTAAAATCCTATATATACAGATTTTATCCTACTGTAGAATAACAAATAAAGAATATTTCTATACACTTGTACTACTCCTATTTGTCTACAATCTAACAGAAAAACCATAAATTATTCTTTCCCATGTGCTCATGTGAGAAGCACGTGAGATATTTCTTCTGGAAGCATCCTTATCTACAGCTATTAAAATAATGATCAGATGGTTGAGAATGAAGGATCATGACCATCCATGATTCTTCCACGTGTAAGGCTCAGCTTCAGTTGATTAAAACCATTTAGACAACACAACATAGATGAGTTCAAAAACTTAGGTGTGTGTCTGAAAAGTCTCTTCTTCTTCCTTCTCTTTTCTGCGTGAAACTTTGGTAAAAATGGCTATGAAGAAGCCATCGTCTTCTTCTCTTTATTAGAGTTTTGCATTTGGGTTTTTTATATAGAGAGCGGAAAGTTTGGTAGTATATAGAATATTTGGCATATACGTTGGGGTTCAAGTCTTCGCAAATAGTTGCATATTTTATAATCTACAAGTACTCAAGTAGACAAGTATAATCTATGTATAGAAGTATAGTAAAATTTTTGTTACAGTGGAGGAAAGAATTATTCAACGGAAAATGTAGTTAAGGATATTTAATAGAATTGAGTATAGACGTGAGGCAATAGGGAAAGGAGGAGAAAAAGAAAAGCAAACCACTTCAAGTTTTTTTCTAGTTAAATATAGAGAGTACACGATTGTAACCAAAGCTGATTGTATCATGTTTGGTGCAAATTGGACTAGTGTATTCCATAATTCAATGCACTTTCGTGATGGATGACTAGAGACATAGGCGATCGGGAGGAAGTTTGAAAGTTCAAAACCACAGAAAATTGTCTAGATATTGGATGTCACAGGCGGGGCGACCAATTTCGTGGCCTAATTAAGCAAAACTTTATGAGGGGCCTTAATTCTTTTATTAATAAAAAATATTTTATTTTTATTTGAAGTTTATTTTTCTAACTTTTTTTAGATGCAAAGTTATTAATAATTTTTTATAATCAATTTCTCCTAATAAATCTTTCTCAATTGACAATATAGCTAATTCATTTAATATCTTTGAGACATTGTTGATCTTAGATAAGGTTTTATCAATTTTAATTTTGAAACACTTTTTTCCGCTGAAGCAACGGTAATAAGAGTTATTAACATTATTCAATAAGTAATATAGGTATTTGAAAAATAATCAATTTTTTTTATTTGATTGAGTATACCAATTAAATTGCTATCTTCTAATTGTACTTTTTTTAAAATATATTTAATTTGTAAATAAATCTAAAATATCAATATTGGGTTGATTATTATGATTTAAGGAGTATTCAAGATGAAGACAATATTTTTTCAAATTTCCATCATCTAGTGATTTCAGTTTTTATCGCTAAATAGAAATTAAAAATATTTTCATATGCCTCTAATTGTTCAAATCTATTTTAAAGTGAAAAAATAACCTTATCTACTA